CTAATTTTGAATATAATATTTTTTGTTTGTCCTTTATCTTGTTAAAGTTTTAAGAAGTCAGATCATATTTCAACTGAATTATTTGTGTAATAAAATGGTTATGGTCAAACCTTGGTCAAGGTACGGTAATTGGGAGAGTTTAGATATCATTTGACAAGGAAAGACCTATACAAACAATAGAGACAAGCACTCTAAAGCTCAAGTCTGGTTAAACTCGATCATGGTATGGAGTGTAAGATAGAATGCAATATTTGATGCGGGGGTGAGGCCCTCTATTTGTAAGTTGGGGATCCGACAGGCGGTAATTGATGTCGTCTTGAAGGTCAAGTTTTTGGGTGCCTGTGGTTGAACTTGGGTCATAATTTCGTTGCAGGAAATGTCTCTTAAGCATTTGTGGCTAAGTATTGAAAGTTGGTCCCTTCAAAAGTAGTTCCCATGTAGGACCTTATCCTTCCGACCTTCCTTCATTCTCCATGCAGCAAGACTGTTTTTCTACCCCTAACATGAGTAATGCATATATCTTCTACTAAAATGTCAGAGAATCAGATCTTATCCCGAACATCGTAGAACTAAAAATAATAATTAAGTTTAGGAAGAGTGATAACATTTTAATATTTTATCATTTATTAATAGAGTTTTTAACTTTAAAATGAGAGAGTGAATAGTTTTTGTATTGCCAAGTTTATGAGAAAAACTTTAGTTTTTTTAGCGAGAAGTTAAATTCTTATTAATTAATAACGTATTCAATTTTTAAATCTAAAATTTTTGTATAAATACTTCCATGAAATTTACAACACACATAATCCAATATTTTTTTTACTTTCTCATATTTTTTATTTTTCTCTCGTGAGAGCAATGGGCCAAAATAGAGGTATCTTTGTTGGAGAGCTTTGCAACCTCTACAGTAGAGTGGTTAGAGTTAGATAACATTGACTTGTTGTATCATGACGAGGATAAGCCAAATAATTATTTCTATTATTTTTAATTTTCTCAACACGAAGTATTTGGATGATTTGTTTGGCTCTTAAATTTAATAAGTGTTTGTGAGTTCCTAACATGAGAGTATAGCTCAAAGGTACATGGTACTTATATCTTTCCTTATACCGTTCCTGAGGACTTCAAATCTTCATACCCCACAACAACTACTACAACAACAAAAAAAAAAAAGATGAAAAGATGAAAAGAAGAAGAACTATATGACTTGTTAGAATCTATTTAGAAATTACCAACATGAGATTAGTTTAGCGGTAATTAACACATGTGTCTGACCAATAGATCATGAATTCAAATCCCTCAAACTCATTTATTGTACTAAAAAAATCTATTTAGAAATTAAATAAAAAACTATATGTCTTGCTCTATATTAAAGATGACTTGTGTTGATACCGAATTTAGGCTCCTTCTCATTCCTGCTAAATCCACACCAAATGCAGATACATGAACGAATGCGGATCCTGCAAAACCAAGAGCACTTCTGGACATGTGAACTTTGTTGTGGGCCAAAGGTTGGGTCGAGGGCCAGTTTGGGTTTCACCAAGACGGGATAGGTTTAGGTCGGGTATAATAGTGGGAGAGCCCTTGTCGGAGTCTCAGCCTACGGCTAAGAACTAGTCGATGCCGGTCGACCTAGGCCGCTTGACTTCTTTGTTTCGGCCTCATTACTTGATTTTTACATCTGGGTCTTCTTCACTTTAAATAGAGGAGTTCATTCACCATCTAATTCATCTTTGGAACGGATGTAGCATAAGATAAAATCCTCTCCACACATAAGATCAAAATATCTATGCTCTCTGAAGATCAAGGAGAAGCCAAAAAAGATCAAGATCAATGAAGCCAGAAGGTCAATCAAGATCAACAAGCTGAAGCCAGAAGGCTGATCAAGATCAATAAATCCAGAGGCTGATCAATATCAACATCAAGCCAAAAGTCGATCAAGATCATCAAGTCAGAGGCCGATCAAGATCAACATCAAGAGGCCAATTCAATCATGATCTCACGAGGCAATCAAGATCAACAAGCCGCCAAGAGGCCGATCTAGACCAACAAGCCACCAAGAAGTCGATCAAGATCAACAAGGGAAAGAATAAGATGATTAAATATTAGAGAATGTATGAACCTCGAAATATCAATAAAAATTGTATTTAGTCCAGGAAATATAATTTTTCTGTAAATCTCGTGTGAACAACCATTTATGATTAAAATTAACGAGAATGAATGAGCGAAATCTTTAATCTATGGATCTTGATTATTTGCTAATATTTTGAACTTAAATTTGATAAAATTGTTTCAAAATTTATTTATTTATTTTGTAATTTGTAAAATAAAAAAAGAAAAATAAAATCCTAACATTTTGGAATCGGGATTCCAAAATCTCCGCCTCTATTCAAATCGGTAACAGAATTCAAAAAATTAGTATAAGGTCCGGCCCAATTTTATTTTCTCTAAATAAATAAAATTGAAAAAATATTTATGTCTTTCGTTAAAAATTAAAAAAAGATAAAATAAACAAAATAAAAGATAAAAACAAAATAAAATATTTTAGAACAATCATGGGATTTGAAATTCGAATTTCAATTTGATTTTCGGTTAAAGTTATGTGATTTTCAAATTTTGAAATACACCGAAAATATTTTTAAAATAGAAAAGGAAATATTAAAAAGTACGAGATTTGAAGTTTGAAATTCAAATTGATTAAGGTTTTTTCTGAATTTCATATTGATTCTCTTTTTGTAGATTTTCAGTTAAGGTTTCGGGAATTTTAAAATATGATTTCAACTTGATTTTTGAATTAAAATTGCTTTTTAGAAAACACACTCTCTTTTCTCTGTTTCGCCAATAACCCACTCTCTCCTCCCTATTCTCGAACTCATCCTCCCTCGTATCATCTATCTCCTCTCATATCCCATCACGATCCAGTGGAACGCGACGGTGAGAACCTATGAAAGTCCAACCTCCGACGTTCAGACCCTTTTTTCCGACGACCTTTGACAAATCTCCCTCAGGTCGGTAAAATCTTTGTTTCTTTTTCGCATACATCTTGGTAGAATTTTTAGGTTGTTTTGCATGTGATCTTTTGCTGTAAAATTTAACAATTTTCGAGACTGTTTTTTGGGCTGAAAATTAGAATTTTTTGGACTGCTTCCGGTGTAAAATTTAACAGTTTTGGGACTGTTTTTAGGTTGAAAATATGAACTTTTTGGACTGTTTTCGGTGTAAAATTTAACAATTTTTTTGGGACTATTTTGAGGCTGAAAATTGGAACTTTTTTGGGCTATTTTCGGTGTTTTGGGTCTGAAAATTGAATTTTTTTTTTTTTGCTTTGGGGCGAAAATTGAATGAGTTTGATACTTATTTTAGTGCTGTTTTTTTTTTCAAAATTAAGGATTTTATGTTCAAATTAATTTTAAATTGACTATGTCAAATTCTATAATGAGGGCTGAGTAATGTGCTTTCTGGAGTTATGACTCCGTGCAAGTGCACGAAAATCCTCAAATTAAATTTTAATTATCTTAATTTTAATTATCTCTTCGTTCGCCATAAAAAATGAATAAAACAATTTTTGACATAAAAGGAAATTGGTTTCAAAATAAGAGATAAATTGTTTTAAAAATAAAATTAAAATCATTTTAAAAGAAAGATAAATTTAAAATGAATTTTAATTAAAATAAATGATTTTCAAAATGCAAGATAAAATTTTAAAACTTTCCAAACAAATAAAAAGGTTTTAGAATAAAACAAAGTTTTCAAATTCACTTTGTTTTAAAATTAATAAATAAGCAAAATATAAAAAAAATATTTCGAAAAAACTCCGATGAGGAGAGATAAGTTTCCAATATTCTTGAGGTGGCAATTTTTCCTTCGTGCCACTCAGTTCATATTTTATAGCAAAATGTGAATTAATAGAAATATGAGATATTTAAAATAAAACAAAAAAATCAGATAATTTAAGATGAAATATGGTAACCGTTCGGTGTTGTAGGGTGCTAATACCTTCTCTACGGAACCGAAATCTGTTTTCGTAGACCATTTTTTTAGGTGTCCAATCCCACCTCATAGTTGGTTGGTGGCGACTCCAAACCCATCCCTCAAAAGAGACCATTTAAGGGATGACGTCGGCCCCTCCGCGTCGCAAGGACGTTGCGACAATCAGGATTCATTCTCTCTCTCTTCTCTCGGTCTTCTTCTCCCTCTCTCTCACTCTCTCGCTCTCTTTTCTCTCTTGTTCTCTTTCTTTTCTCTCTTCTCTCCTTCAATCTCACTTTATCACAACCGGTTGATTTTCTCAAGGAAAAAAAATAAAGTTTCTCATGTAGAGAACCCAAATAGCCTACTTCGTTGGTCAAAGAATACCAAAAAAAGAATTTCATTGATTCATGTCGAAAAAAATGCAAAACAAAGGAGGAGGAAAAATAGAGAAACATCTATAAATTCTGTACATTTTAATTTTGTGAAAATTTGGAGGGAGAGAGAGTTGGAAATCCGTTTTAAAAGAGAGAAGATGAGAGAGAGTTAAAATAAGGAAATTTTGATTTTGTTATGTTTAAGAAAAATCTGAGAAAGAGAAAAGAGAAGAGAAGGAAACAGGAAGAGAGATGAGAGAGAGAGTAATTACCTGAGAAGATTCAAATGAGAAAAAAAAAAAGTAAAAATTTAAGTCGAGTTAGTGGAGAGACAATGATAGTCATTTATGACTTGTTTGATAACGTTCGCAAATGGGATCTTTGAGTTGTATAACCCTTTTCGCAATGGATAATTGGTTTGGTTTTCTCAACTTTACTGACATATCACCCTAAATATCAAATCAACCCTCATTCCACTAATTTTTTTTATAGATTTTCTTTCTTTTTTTTCCTCTCTTTTTATCTTTCATTCCAAGATTTTTTTTTTAATAATGTGAATTTTTAAAATATTTACCAAAATATGTCTCATCTCAAACTAATTATAAGAATAATGCTTTGAAATTCATAGGCCGTCTCTTAAAGAGACGACCAAGGGTGGGTTTTTAAAACAGGTTTCGTTTTAAAAACCCTAACCCCTCACCCTTATCCCCATATCTCCCAAAATACATTCAGCCGCCGCCTCCGATTTTTCCACCGCTGCCGTCGTCTCCGCCGATTAGTCCACCATCTAGCCGCCGCAACCTCTTCTGGTAAGTATATTCCACTCTTTTTGGTTGTTTTGTTTTGTTTTCGTTGCAATAATTTAGTTTTAACAAAATATAGGGACCACCACTTCATCAATTTCAATTTGGACCACCTACAGAAAAGGTTAGTTTCTTTTTTGGATTTATTTATTATTGATGGTTTTTTTTATTCATATCATGATTATATTTGATTTTTAGGATATGTATATTATATTACATTGATTTTGTCGTTTAGRGTAGGATTTTCAATTTTTTATTTTGTTAAACGAGTTTTCTGTTTTTCTTTATTATTTTATTATATTAAATTAAATTACTTTTATTTCTTTGTTTTATGTTTATTGCATGATTATGATTTTCCATTACTTTTTTTTGTTAAACAAATTTTCTGTTTTTCTTTAATTTGTCGTTTTTATTATTTTATTATATTAAATTGATATTTATATTGAATTGATAAATAAATTACATAACAATAATAAATTTAGAATTACACTAATTTTGTCGTTTTATGTTTATGAAATGATTTTCACTTATTTAAAAATAGTTTTATGTTTTTTATTGTTTATGTTGTTGTTTTTTATTTTTTCATTATATTAAATTTATAATTGTGTTGTATTGATAAATGAATTACGTAACATTAATAAATTTAGAATTACATTAGTAGATAGATAGTCTATACATGTTTTAAAAAAGTTGCATTTAGATATTATTAAGTAATGTAATTAATTGGTTAATTACTATTATTATTTAGTTAGTGAACTAAAACTAAAACTTTTTAATTTATTTTTTATTAAGTTGTGTAATTAGATTTAGTTACCAAATTTAACTTTTGTTTGTTCTGTTATAGGATAAAATATGGCATCTAAATGTTTGGCAATTGTTTTGTATATGAATGGTTGTATTGTAAATGGGATTGAATATAATCGACCGCCATGTGGAGGTTTCACTGTTAATAGTGGTATTGATTTTGGACATTTTGTTGAAATGATTGGATTATCATTGAACATAGATGTGAGCGGCAATGAATTAGACATAGTTTATAGACACCCTACTCTCACACCCTCAGGATCAACTAAGTACATTCCTATTCCTATTTCGAATCACAATGCGTTAGAGTTGATGTTCTCAATTGCAGTGCCCTCCCCAGAGATAGTGGAATTATTTGTGTGTGTTAGAAACATAGTTGATGACACACCTAGTCAATGTCTCAGCGAGTGCCAATGCCTTGACCCTGAAATTGAACCAGAAATTGTACCAACTATTCCCCAAAGTGATGATGTAGGAGAGGATATAGACCTACCTGCTGAAAATAATTTTGTTGAATTGAGAACGGCAACAGATGATGAGTTTGATGAGTTGGATTTCGAGGATSGTGAACACAATATCCCTTCAGACATGTTCAACGACCTGGGAATGGACATYATGAATAGTACTACAGAACATGATCTGGTCGTTGAGCCAGTGGCTGTAGAACATGATCTGTTGTACAAGGGATTCAGATGCAAAGATAAACAAACAATGCAACATATTGTGAAAAGGTTTGCTATTAAAAGTCACCACCCATATGAAGTTGTTGAGTCGRCACCATCGAAGTGGGTAATTAGATGCAAGAAGTGGGAAGATGGATGCAAGTGGCGACTCCGTGYGATCCTAAACAAWTGTTATAACCTTTGGGAAATCACGAAGTACGAAGATSAACATTCTTGTRTTTASTCTGAACTCAATCAAAGTCATCCTCAATTGGATTCAAATATGATTAGTCTCGAAATTTGTGAYGTAGTGASAGACAACCCTACCATAAAAATAGTGACACTTCAAGGTTTGATAAAAGAAAAATTTGGATATCATGTTTCTTACAGAAGAGTTTGRGACGGGAAAACGAAGGCATTGTCTCGAGTATTTGGTGATTGGGATGAGTCATATCAGCRTTTATCGAAGTGGATGTATATGGTGAAACACACAAATCCAGGAACGATCATTKAGTGGAAACTCAAGAATTATGGGACGCCGGGTCATGTCATTCTTCATTCCGTCTTTTGGGCATTTGGTCCTTGTATTGCAGCTTTTAAAACGTTTCGCCCCGTACTTCAAATTGATGGAACTCACCTTTATGGAAAGTATAGAGGGAAACTTTTGATTGCAACATCAGTTGATTCAAATGRACATTTGCTGCCACTTGCKTTTGCCATTGTTGACGAGGAGAATCGCGAGACTTGGGGWTGGTTTTTWAAAAACCTACGAAAGATTGTTACRCACGAGGAAACATGYTTGATATCTGACCGACACGGAGGTATTATATCAGCCTTTAATAATCCAGATAATGGTTGGACAGGRCATAAATCTCATCACAGATTTTGCTTACGACATGTTGTGAGCAACTTCAATAAAAAATACAAGAGTAAGAAATTGAAAAATMTGGTATATCGTGCYGGTTCTCAATCCCAAGTTCGAAAGTACAATAAGTGTGTTGAAGAGGTTAATCAAATGAATAGCACTTGCATGAATTTTTTTCGAAACATTGGAATTGAAAAGTGGACTCAATTGTGAATGATGACATTATTTATTTAATGATTACATTATGATTTAAATTTTCAGTGATTTCATATTATGATTCTTATTCTGCATAATGACATATTTTATAGAGATAGAACATGGAGCTAAATCCAGGTCCGATGGATCGATCAGTGTTGTATTGTCAAGCGCGTCATCGATCAGAGTTAGTTTGGCAAGATCAGTGTAACGAGGAGTTGCACTGTAGGCGTAGAGAGGCAGTATTTGATCGCACTATTCCATTACATCCTTTGATTGAGCCAGCACTTCGTGCTTCCGGTTTTTATGGATTTGCCAAAGTTGGATTTATTCAATTAGATTGGCACTTAATCACTGCGCTTGTGGAGCGATGGAGGCCGGAGACTCATACTTTTCACATGCCTGATGGTGAATGCACGATAACTCTCCAAGATGTAGCAGTGCAATTCGGGTTACCGGTAGATGGTGAGCCAGTAATAGGGCCAATACATTATGATTGGAAAGCCACATATCAATTATTTCTTGGTGTGACTCCAGACGACTCACATATTAGAGGATCTAGACTCAGTTTACCATGGTTGGCTTCACAGTTCCGGAACTTAGATGACGATGCTGACGAGCATACCAT